AAATCAGATACATTTACTTGAAAAGCAAATTGACAAGAAGTCGTGATTTCTGAGAAATTGATCAAAATGAAGTGAGTTCATGATTAAAACGAGAACAAATATCTGGGCTCAGAAAAATCTTAATTCGACTGACAGATATTCATTCTTGTTTGAAGCGTAAACTCACTTTTGTTCAGTTTCTCAGAAAACAAGAATTCACATTTTCATTTTCCTTCACAAGTACACGTGTCTTGATTTAAGGATGTTTAGATATTTGTATTGGAAAACAAACAAAAATCCTGAAGAAGATATTCATTTTTGCAGTGCATGCAACATTTAATGCCAAGACTATGAATTTGAGACTTTCTGCTCTGAATTAAGACCTTTTAAGGCCCGGTTTCACAAACGGTGCTTAGCTTAAGCCAGGACTAGACCTTAGTTAAATTAAGATATTTAAGCAACTTTTACAAAAATGCGTTAGAAGAAAACATTACAGGTGTGCATCTTGACACAGAACAGTGAAACTACTGACATATTTTAAGATAATGTCAGAGCAAGATATTTTCAGTTGAGACAGCTCAAACATGCATTTTAGTCTGGGACTAGCTTAAGCCTTGTCTGTGAAACCGGGGGTAAATGTACTAAATTGCAACTTAAATTGTAATTACAAAGTTGGAAATACAAGTATATATAGCAACACATGGCACAGAAGTTTCAATAGAAATGACATTAAAGTATATTTTACTTTATCATAAATGCTTGTCAGTACATTCAGCAGTAACACTTTAACCATATTTCAAAGAATAGAATTATGAAATTACATATAATGATGTACTTAAGTGCTACTTAAGTGAGTCAAAAAGCATTCTAAAGTTCAGCTAATTGCATTTTATATAAATTTAAACCATAATTAATTTATTTAATTGCAATTATGAAGTATCTGAAAACATGACATTCAGCTCACAATTTAGCATATTCTTTTAAAGTACATTATTGAGTACTCTGTTTGAAAGTATGCTAAAATGCACTTCTTTTTCACAAGAGATTTAAGCAGCTGTGTCTATGGGCCAAAAACCCCTGAGGCAAGGGATTCCTTCAGATGCATTACAACATATCTTGTCTCTCGCCCTTACCTAAGCGTTTATGCTAAACATTTCACAATAGTTTCTGTCATAACACAGCATTGGTGTTGTTATTGCTGTAGTTACAACATCTCTCACTCCTTGTGTTCACTGCAAGTGAGATCTGCAATGTAACACAA